TTAAAAAAAATAAAAATATTTATTTATCTAACTAAACCATGAAATGTACTACATATACTAGCAATACTAAACTATCAAGTGATTTTGATGAACTAATTTAACTTTTGTTTATCCAAACATATATGCAAATCATCATATGATTTTGAGCTAAAAATGACATAAAATCATAATAAAGTCCAACATATAAAGTTACACATGCATCTACATCACAAAATGAGATAAGCTACTGATAAAACATAAGAGAATTAAGTTTGTTACCTCCAAAATCGAAGAGCAACACCAATGGAGGGGGAGAGAGCAAGAACAACAGCAAGCTGAAGAACAGAGGCAGTGAGTTTGGCTCGGGCTCGGGGAGAAAGAAATGAGCTGGTCTTTAGGCCGGAATAATTAGTCCCGGTTAGAGGGCCAAACCGGGACTAAAGATTAATCTTTATTCCCGAGGCATCACCCAAACCAGGACTACAAGCTACCTTTAGTCCCGATTGGTAATACCAGTCGGGACTAAAGATCCCTGCCCCGCGGATGACCGTTGGGCAGGAACCTTTAGTCCCGGAGGCAAAAAATACCGAGGCTAATATTAAATTAGGACTTCGTTTTAAAGTCTGTTCTTGATCTATGGGAGGCAAAAAACTACATCGCTATTGTATCCGAGTGTTAGCATGAAGGAATCAACAACTTGTCTTGATCCTTAAGTTGCTGCAATGGTACCCGAAATCGGATCGATTATTTCCTCTAAGTAAGATTCGCATAAATGTTTTTGGTTGGCATTCATAAAAAACAATATCATTTTCTTAAGACCATAGAGCTCAACAAATTGGCATAGCACTTATCATCATATTTAATCCACTTTACTATTCTGCTCCCTTGCGTAACCCAAGTATGAAATAAACCATTTAAGTCTCTAGGAGAGGTGCAATTTTCAAGGTATAAAAAATAGCATGCTAAGGTATAAAAAATAGTATGATGTCTTGCATGTTTTCATCATGAGTTCATGACTACGTAAGCAGCAAGTTTTACTCCATTCCAGTTTCATCTATTAAGATTGTCCTTGGTGAGGATAACTCCTTTTTTAGGTACCACATAGATATTTCAATATTTAGGGGTATTTTCATATGCCAATTCTTTGTTAGTAAACCGAAAATTGTTATTGGTGAGTAACATAGATAAATTTCCGAGAATTCGCCATGTTTTCTTAAACTACAGATAACTTTATCTCTAACCTCTTGGAAATTTATATTCACTAGTCTAGCAATAAAATGTTGTCATTCTAATATTATATTTCCAACTAATGCTCTCCTAAAAGAATATTAAATGTCATTGTACTTAGGACATTAGCAAATCATTGCTTGTTTCCTACGAAGAATATTATATATAGATGTGTCGTTGATATTTTAATGGATGATATCAGATATTTATCTTCCCAAAACCTAATTTAATTGTCGTCATCAAACTGAAGTTTTCCCACATGTATGAACTAATCCTTTACCCAAACGAGCCCCATCCAGAAATATGAATGACCTATTTTGTGTGTGTGTTGCACTCAAGGTTTGGTTCCTAAGATACCTCTTACACAGCAGACGTTGCCACACACCACCTTCATTGCTCAATTTAAACAACATTTAACTTAACTAGCATTTAGTTTGAGTGTCTAGATTATGCACTCCTAAGCTACCATGGTCTTTTGGTTGGCAAATAATGTTTCAGCTCATTAATCTATACTTTCTTTTTATGTTGTTCATATTGCCAGAAAAATCTCGATCTCAAATACTTCAAATTTTTAGGACTACTTCTCTAGGACTCTCAAAGAAGAAGGGCATGAACATAAGTATACTAGACAAAGTTGAGTTCATTAACACTAACCTAACACCAACACATAAATGTTTTCCTTCCCACACCGCTATTCTCTTCTTAAAATTTTCTTGAATCACAATCCATATTTTCAAGTTTCCTAATATGTTGTGGGCCGGATGCCAAGATATAAAAAATGGTATGAAATTACTTTGAAACCAAATAATTGTGAGTAATCTCTCTCACAATATTTTGATTGATCAAAACATAAAAACTAGCTTTTGTGGAAGTTGGTTTTAAGATCATATAATTATTTAAAAGCACAAATAATAATTTCATGTTCTTTAGTTGTTCAATATCATGGATACTATATGAACAACACAAAATATACCATGGAACATCTCATGGGGAGTGTCTAGTGTGTGAACATTTGAATACATCATGGACCATCACATGGATAGTGTATGAGCAAGCTAAAATACAATATGAAGTATCTCATGGGTACTATAAAAACATTGCAAATACACCAAGTATGGAAATAAAAAAATAATAAAGAAAAAATAAAAATTAAATAGAATAAACAAATTAAAAATGAAGATAATTAATTTCTTTAGAAAGATCATGTGATAGAGGACAAATAAAAAAAAAGAATGGAAAAATAAATAGAAAATCCTTAACAATTTAAACACATCATGAAACATCCCATAAATACTACATGAACAACTCAGAATATATCATGGAACATATCATGCGTACTATATATGAACAAAAGAAAATACATTGTGGAACATCCTATGGAAATTACATGAACAATAAAGACATAAAACTAGATGAACAACTATAGAACATTAAAAAACAATATGCATGGTAATAAAAAATCAAAACAATTAATTAGAATAGAAAAGAAAAAATAAAAAGGAAATAGATAAAAGAAAAGAAAAGCAAAAAAAGGAATTATTGGGCTTAAAACATACACTCTAGATCAACCTTCCGGGCTGTGAATTGTGATGAGGAGTAGACCTACCGGTCGGTTGCTGCAGGGCTATAGTTGTTCAACCCTTCTACGATTATATTTGAGTAATTGAGTTCCTATTGTTTGCAACACGATACAATTTTGTCTACTATGAACACAGTAATTTGCTTAGAGCATCTCCAAGAGAAGACTAATAACAAAACTGATATTTGCGTGGTTAGCAGTAAAACGTCGGTCCACCAGCTCCCCAAGCCTTCCCCCAAAATTTACTCGCTCTAGAAAAACAAGAGAGCGCCCCGCTTTTGTGCAGAAAGATGGCGCGCCCCCAATCTTTCTCCCGCGCTCGTCCTCTCCAGCTCGCGCCAGTTTGCTGAGTCTTTGCCGCGCTTTTGTAGCTCCACCTGCCATCGAAGTGGCCTCCCATCTTCTTCCATCTAGGTGCCAAAAGATTGAAGATGGAGGCAGCCAGGGATGCCGGTTCCATCCAGGGTGTGCGGCCCATGGCGACGGCCAGATGCGGCCACCTCTGTCCGTCGACATGCAGATGTGGCTGCCCCTGTCCGTTGACGCGCAGAGAATAGGCAAGGCCACAGGCGAGGGCGACGAGCACAAGGCTAATGGCGGCGCTAGCATATCTGGAGATCAGCCTGCCGACGTATCTATTGCAGGAGACCTGGAGTCACCGTACCAACAAAAAAGGAACTAGCTAACGGAAAAAGTCAAGTTCCGACTAAACCAATCTCTCACTAATGACGTGTCAGTATTGGGAGCAAAATATTAGGGAACTGTTGCGGACGAAACTAACTTTAGGGTACAAATTATTTAAGAGAGCCTCCGATAATAAGCTTTGTGTGTTAACTTTTTAGGGACCTCTTAGAGTCGCTCTTACGTATAGAAAGGAGTAAAAGGAAAACAGAAGCTGCTATTTAAAGAAAACAAATAGCCACAGATATCGAGCACTAGAATTGACAGGAACTATCCATAAGAATATCAGCTATTAAGCTGCCAATGTTAAACCCGCGGAACATACATACGACGTACTAGAGCAGAAGGTTCACAGAGACATATGTAGTCAACCAACTTGTCAATGGCATCCTGCTGCGGGGCCCACCGGACCACCACGCCTCTGCCCGCCCTGACGGCGTCCTCGATGCCATCCGGCAGCCGCGGCCGCCGCACGCTCTCGTCGTCACAGCAGCCTCGTAGCTGGTTGGGTCGGACGACCCAGAGGAAGGGGTGGCCGCATTCTGCCAAACCCCAGGCCACCTCCAAGAACTCGCTCGCGTCCATGGCCGCCAAGCTCCCGAAGCTCACGTACAGCACTGACCCGGAGCGCTGGGTGTCCAGCCACTCGATGCAGCTGCGGTCCGGGGCGAGCAGGCTGCTCCCGGCGCCCCTTGAGGAGGAGGAGGAGACCTTGTGGAGAGGGCCGGCGGCGAGCACCACCGGGAGGTCGGCGAGCTCGTCGCGGAGCCTCCCGATCTCGGCCGCCTCCAGTGCCTCGAACGTGTTGATGACGAGGCCGGAGCAACCTCTCACTGTCTCGCTGGCCCGGGCGAGGACTCTGCGGACCAGCTCGTGGTCGCTGTGCTTCGAGTAGACGAGGTCCTTCACTCGGAGAGGCGGCAGCTCCGGCACCGGCGTGCACAGCTGCGACTCTCGCGGAGTCAGGTAGCCCTTCTCGTGGAGCATGGGGTACGCCAGGAAGCAGCCGAAGCAGGCGGCGCTCCCGGTTCGCAGCACCATGTCATGATACTAGTAGAGATACCGTGGCCTGGGCCGATCAAGGGACATGGGCTGGACCTGGACCGAGAGAAGATAAGGACCGGGCTCCTCAGTATTCCAAGGAGGAAAGCAAGCCAACGTAAAAGGACTACCACCATCACCGCAAGGAGTGTCGAAGGACCAGAACTCGAAGAACGGCGGGCTGCGGCTCGAGGCGAGCTTTGCTCGATTCTACCCTTTTCCCCTCTTCCCCCTTCCAAAATTTGTATCCAGATCATTCTAGTAGCTTCTAGACACTTCTATTGTTGCATGTACTTCAGTTTTTGGATCGAACTAGTAGGACGGTGACACACCAGCGTGGGCAGCCCGATCTTCTTGGCCGCCCTGTGCACGGCGAGGAGGTTGGCGTCGATGAAGAGGCACGCGGCGCGGGGCTGGCCCTGGTGGTCGGCGAGTGCGGCGGACGCCAGCGCTTCCGTGACGGCCGCGGAGGAGGAGGACTCCATGGCGGCGTTCATGGCGAGGATGATGTCGATGATCCTCCCCGTGGCGGCGACGTCGGCGGGCGTGCCGTCGGGGACGGCCACGAACCGGAACTCCGGGTGCCGCGCCGGGTCCAGCGCGTGTGGAGCACGGTCACCGCGAGGCCCCGCGCGTGGAGCACCCCGGCCAGGTGCAGCATCGGGTCGATGTGGCCCTGGAACGGCAGCGGGAACACCAGCACGCGCCGCGCGCGCCGCTGAGGACCAGGGCCGCCGCCCCTGCTGCCGTTGCCGTCGCGAGCTTCTTGGGCGCCGGCCATTTTTGCTAGCTGTGAGCGGGCGTATGCTCGGTGACGGTGTGAGTGCTACACTGAGCACGTACTGGTGGATGGGCAAACAAGTTCGACGACGTACACGTGCTACTGAACAGATCGAGGCTATCAGCACTACTAGAAAAACAGATCGAACTTTCATCCCGCCTCTATTTTTGCCTTTAGTCCTGATGTTTTTGTGTTCGGGACTAAAATGACTATTAGTTCTAGTTATATCCCCAAACAAGGATATAAAGTTCCTGCCCCAAGTGTATGGCGATGGTAGGCAACAATTAGTCCCGGTTATAGTCCAGAGCCGGGACTAAAGGTTATCCTTTAGTCCCGGCTGGACCCTCCAACCGGGAATAAATCTTTACTCCCGGCTTGAGGATCCAGCTGGGACTAAAGGATGACCTTTAGTCCCGGCTCTGGGCTATAATCGGGATAAAATCTTTCGGCATTGAACCCACGACCTCATAGCCAAGGTCCAAACCGCAGCGCACTAGCTAGCCATCTGAACTAAGTCACTTTCTCGACAAGAAAGCACCCAAACATTTATTTAATAAGAGAAAAGACCCTTTAATTGATTATATTCTTTTGTTAACTATACTTTGAATTTTTTGGTCCATGTGCTTTCTAGTGCCTGATTGATCTCATAATTTTTATCAGGGTTTTCAAATGCCCAGTGTGAAGCCACCACCAAGTTCGAGATTTTTCTGAATTGGTTCGGTAATTTTTTCACTTTAATTGAATTTCCACGCGACTTCACCGATTAATTATACGTTGAACTGAGTCCACCCCCGAAAAGATCCAGAATGGTGCCAAACTTTGCCAAATGGTCTCTTGTGCCCTAGGAGACAAATATTTGTGGAGGTTGATGCAAAATTATATTGTTTTGAATATGTAATTCGCCGTATTTCGTCTCACGCGGCACAAAGAAAAATGTAATAATAAAAATAATTATCAGAAAAACCTAAGATCTTGTGTGGGGCCATATTTTGGGTGTAAATGACTGCCAAAAAAATTTTAAGCCATTTCAACATAGGCAGAGTCGACGTGCTTCACAGAGGTATATATAACCTTTCGTCGAACCCTATCTATACACCTAGGTTCTCTGGGATTCTGAGGTCCATGTGCTTTCTAGTGCCGGATTGGGCTGAAACTTTTTCTCAAGACTTCAAATGCCTTATGTGTAGCCACCATCAAGTTTGAGATTTTTCTGAGGTGGTTTGGTACTTTTTTAACTTTAATTGAATTTCCGCCCGAACTCACCGATTAATTATACAATGATTAATGAAGAACCTAAAGATTTACGTTACAATTACGTGAAAACTAATTTCCTGTCGAAAACCAATAAATTTAATAATTTCAATTAAAGTCTACATTTTTGCATTAACGAAAATAGTGACTATTAGTTGCATTATGTTCAACATTTATAATAAAAAACACAATAGTTTAGGTCACATATTTTTTTTTGTGCAGTAAATGAAAATAAAGTTTATTACTTTTTCTAAAAAAATTTATGCCTAGTATTGAATTTACTGCGCAAATAATAAGACTTAAACATTTAAATACAAAACATATATAAAATAAACTGATCTGCTTAAAAGTTGGCTGTAAATGAAAATGTAGCCCACCTTTAGTCCCGGCTGCTGCCACCAGCTAGGACTAAAGGTGGGCTGCATTTGGCGGCCTGCCAAAAAATTCTTTAGTCCCGGCTCCTTCCAACAGCCGGGACTAAAGGTCCCCCCTTTAGTCCCGGCTGGTGGCAGGAGCCGAGACTAAAGGTGCTTTAGTCTTGGGCGGTGGATGGAGCCGGGACTAAAGGTCTCTCTCCTATATATCGCCGCCTCCCTTCTCTCTTCTTCCTCAACGATCGTCTTCGTCTTCAGCGCGTCCCTAGAGCTCCGCCGCCGCCGATTCGCCTCCCCGGCCACCCCCGACGCCGCCTTCCTCACCGGAGGGCACCCCGAGGCTCCCCCACCTCGCCGGAGTAGCCCCGACGCCGCGCCCCTCACCGAGGAGCCCCCGGCTGCCCGACGCCACACACAAGCGCCACGCCATTCGTCGATTTTCGCTTTTCCCGCCCACCCCCGACGCCTTCAGAGAGCCCCTCGACGACGCCTGGCCTTGGGACAGGAGCCCCCGTGCCTCGATCCAGGCCGCTGTCCACCACCGTCGCCAACACTCTATTCTAAACCGCCGGTATATATATATATATATATTATATTTATGAATTATATTGACGAAATGTGTATTAATGTATATATGTATGAAATTATATATGTATGAAATGTGTATATATATATCAATTAATGTATATATGTATGAAATTATGTATGTATGAAATGTGTATATATATATCAATTAATGTATATATGTATGAAATTAATGTGTGTATATATATATATCAATTAATGTATACATGTATAATTTTTCCTTAGGAAAAAAAATCAATTGTGTTATATTCTGATACCATGTGGCCTATACCCTAAACCCTAAACCACCCTAAACCCTAAACCCTAAACCACCCTAAACCCTAAACCCTAAACCACCCTAAACCCTCCCCGGCCACCGACGCTGGCCGGCCGCCCCGCGCAGGCACCACCGCCCCGAAATGTGTATAAAATGTCTATGAAACCCTAATTGCATAATTATTGTTTTATAATTATTTAGGCTCTCTATGGCCGATCCGAGAGACGATGACTTGGAGGCGAAAATAATGGATATTACGCCGGCACTGAACATTGTGCCGATGTTGATAATGACCAGCAGGAAGACGACGGGAGTCAATACTTGAATCTCGAGCATATTGTTGAGGAAGTTGTTCATGAAGATAATTCCGGCGAGGTATATATTTCTCAATATCTAGCTCTCATTTATTTATTATGCATACATGTAGCCCACTGGATCGACCTTCGTTTTATAATACCTTTTGTGTTTCTATGCATACATAGCCGTCTAGATCGACGACGACGACGTGGAACACAAAGAATGTTCGAGGGGCCAAAAAGCCGTTGGAAGGCCGCTACATCATCTCAGAATTCAACATGGCTACAGGCGAACCACTAGGACAATATGCATAGAAATTCGTGTACCACTGTGGGTACCTTGTAAGGGACAAGCTCCCGATCAATGCCCGTGAATGAAAAAAAATAACAATGCTCCTCATATTAGTTATGTCTCTGATAAGGACAAGGAGCTGATTTGGCAAGATGTTCTTGCACATTTCACGCTCCAAACAGATGATTATCATGAAGACATCACCCACTTAAAGGTTGATTTTGAGCGAGTTAGGTAATTGGACAATGAAGAAGATGGCCACCCAATTCCAATCTTGGAAGAAGCGGTTGTACAAATCATACATCAAGAAGAACAAGACTCCAAATTGGAACGATAAGGGCCCAATCGCGAAGGCAAGGCCCTACTGGGAGGAATTTGTACAGTACAAGACATCGAAGAGAGGTGCGGAGCAGGCGAGAAGGAACCAAGAGAATTCTAGACAAAAGCAATACCACCATAACATGGGATCGGTGGCTACGTGACTTCCGTTCCCAAGTGTCAAAAAATGGAAGCAGCACCTTATTGCCAAAGGGGTCATACACTGAATCAAAGACACCGGGCCTAACGCACAAAGCGTTGGTTTTAGGTCATGGGGAGGATTGGACCCGAGCCACGGGAAGCTCGTCCATGGCACAAAACTCGAAAAGAGCAATGTAAAGGTTGATTCAAATTCTAAAAGCTAGATATAGTGGACTATTCCGCCCAACAGAGAGAAAGATGAACCGACATATTCCATCGGGACTCTTGAGCATTGTGGACGAACTAGAGGCAAAGGGCCATTCCATGGGTGCAAGGTTTCTGAATGGATCGATTCAGACTGAAGCCGCCGAGACGGAAGGATGAGGAGGGCGAGAGGATCCGCATCTTGCAAAGCAATATGTTATTGAGTCACGGAAGCGGTGCTTGAATCACAAAGGCGAGAAAAGGAAATGCAAGCAAAAATGCAAGAGGAAGTCGCAAGGCAAGTGCAAATACAATTGAGTGCCCACGGGATTACAACAGCTCCGAGAATCAACATTAGCCCCCCCCGATCGGTTGAGAAGCGGTTGTGCTTTACTGAGAGCTACTGATGCCATAAAGATGCAGAGAGCTGCGCTTCCCCGTGGATGACATCATCGAACCTTTTACATCATGTGAGCTGCACATTCCAAAAGATAATGGCACATGAAGGTGGCTATTGGTGTTGTAAATCCTATCGACCGCAGTTCAAGACACCAAGATTCCATGGGGCGATAGTACCAATTTGGATATGCTACCGTCTCGGTGGATAAAGCTATTGAAGGTTTTAGCGATGTGCCTCTTGACATTCATGGAGGTGATGGGGAGAAGACCGTGGGAGAAGCAGAGAAGTCATTCATTGCATGGCACAAGCGCTACATCAATATTCCCGGGAAGCCGTTGCCGCATAATCGGTACGGATGAAAGTGAACGAAACAATTTTTTTTATTAATTTTATATTACCTCTTAAATAACAATTGACTCATTGTCTTCTGTACGCACACAGCAGGGCCTCCCCCAACCTAAGTCCAATAGTACAATCACCAGACCAGCATAGTGCTCCGGGCAGTGGTTACGATGGGGTAAAAGAAACGGCTACATCCCCACCATCTCCAAGACGGTCTCCACCGCCGCCGCCACCGCCAGCGCCTCCAAGACGTTCCCCAACGCCGCCTCGAAGGTCTCCAACGCCTATTCCCCCACCTCCTCCCATGAACTAGGGAAGACGACTGCAAACAAATAAGCCATCTGCCCCGCCGGCGAAGACGACCAAGAAGGCCCCCGTGAAACCAAGGCCAATTTCACAGAAATTGCCTGGTGAAATGAGTAAAGAGGAGTTAGATGACGCGGTTAAAAAAACCGTCGGAGCATTCTTCTCAGGCACAGGGAAGAGGAAGTAGCAGGAGCAGAAGCACTTTCACCTACCTCTAGCTAAACTAAGGCGGATG